GTGATATTAGCTATCACGACATTGTTGAAATGAGATCATAGTACACTCACCTTTCCTCTCACCGGGTTATTTGTTTGACCTCTGCTGTCATACTGGTGTTCATATGAAATATGTTCTACGAGTAGTCGGGGCCCTCGTCTGGGATATAAATGATTTATGGGAACTACAAATGTAAAGATCATAAAGACAATTAAGGACAAAACAAAAATTTAAAAACTAACGACTATGTTGTATTTTCTTGAAAAGAAAATGCGTGTATCAAAATAATTCCTTTGTTGTCATGGCAACCTCCACCAAGACATACATGCACGGTTTCCCACCTGTTTTTACACTTCTGACCATGGCAAGCAATATTTGATCTTTTTTTTTATCATTCTGTTTATTTATCCTAGTGCCATTTGCTAATGTGATTATGATCCCGGGGTCGGTAAATTCTTACCTATACCACTGGCTGCATGGATGTTCGGATTACAGCCATGCCTCGTAAGACCAGGATTGTTCGCATCAACTTTATTTTTAAAGTCACATCGCATGGTTGAATCGTATGTATATGGCGGTTTTTTAAGCGGTTCATTTGATGTTCGTGATGGCCACCATTCCGGTTGTTCGTGGTCTGTTTCCCGTGTTTGAACGTGGCATATTGGGTCATTCAGTAACGCAACGTCTTGTCGTAGAAACCCAACATCTCTTGGGTGAGGGTTGTTTTTTCTAGTCCCGGATGACGGTCTCACTATCTGTTGTTTTCGCTGTCTGCCTTGTAAAGAGTTCTGGTAGTGTGTCTGTCCGGTCACGTCTGTGTCCGTGTCGTCCGTGTTAAACACTCGCCGCGTATCTGGACTGAAAGCAAACACATGCATATAAAATATAATAACTTCAGAAATGTAATGTACAATGCAATGTAATGCAATATATTTAAAATATACATAATCTTAGTGAGCTTTAATTTTTGTAAACTTGATGTTTGTGGCTGAGCTGTTGGTATTCTCCACACTTCATAGAACTTGTTGAAATTCTCTGCGTATCACCACCAAAATGACAAGGTCTATGATCGATTCGTCTAACATGTATATTCATCCCTGAAGTCGGTTCGTCCGAGAAAAGCGGACGCCATATATGTACTTACATTTGACCATGGAAATATCGATTTTACCTTCATGATATGACTGTTGCCGTATTCCGATTTACCGTACGCGACTGATAACTTATTCGGCGTACTGTAGTAAACCGTAGATTAAAAAAAAATCGGCAAGACAATGCACACATACCGTACGTATGTTGAAACAGTACCTTAAACGTACATATAAATCGACATCATAGCCCTGCACATGGTAATAAGACTGATCAATGCCAATGGACGATTATGATATCGAATTGGGACGAAACTGAATTGGAACTAATCGACTTTGGGAAGATATGTTGGTACGAATGTGATTAGGGACGAATTGACTGGTAATCGATGACAATTAATTGGACTCATGTTGACATGGACTATTCAATTTCCACTACGTATAATCATGAAAGGTACTTCCATGTTATAATCAAGGATAGGCCCTTTATCGGTAAATATTCGCCCCACAGACGATCGTGTATTGATTCCAGCAACCGATCACATGAATAGATACCAGGCCTCTTGTGTCCAGCCCTATTCAGTGCATCGCGTTCAAAGTCCACGCTGTCGTGGGTTTGTCTGGCTACGCTAGCCATATAATTTTGCACACTGTGAATGCGTTCTCGCATAGACTCTGTGAAGTCAATGGTTCTCGGGGACCATTTTCACTAGAACCAAAAGTAAGTCACTAAATTAATCCCAGTGCCACATCTACATTTTTTAGACTAGACTAGTCAAGCCTCAAATTCAATTAGATTTCCCAAATACTGTTATTTGAAAGACGTTATTTTAGCCACTTACTCATAACGAGAGTCTGTCCTTCCTTTCCTTGATAACGGTGGCATATATAACGTCATTGTGGTATCGATAATAACAGTGTGATAATCCTATGGTGCAAGCGAAGTGTGATAGTGAGCGTCCCGTCCAGTCTTCTATCAACATCTGATGACTTCCGCCATATTTGTGTTGACCGGTTTCCATGGCTTCCTTGTCCTCTTCCAGACTCAGGATGGCGTCCTTTCCGAAAGACTAATCAATTTCAGAAACGACCGCAAGAGGTCGCTATCACACACAAAAATCCAAGATGGCTGAGAACATGAGGCGGTCGGTGTCGAATTTGATGAGAGGAATTGACAGGTAAAATACTATATATGGGATGTGAACGTAACCAGTAATGTTTTTATCACTTACGTCGGTCTTTACCGTGCTACCTTTTATTAGTGATGAGTTAGAATTGCTGTAACTGGTACACCATCAGGTACCTTTGTTTTCCCTTGGATTTGATCTAGTTAGTACCAGAGGTACATTACTTGGGGTTTGCAACTACGGTGACATGATATCAAGATCCCGTTTCAATCTCGCTCTCGCAGAAGCGTTTCAACTCCAAAAAATGCGAATGCGCATGACCGAGGTAACTAGGATACTGGGATGTCCAGGTGGATCAAAATAGCTGCTCACGATATGACGGATTACGATAACTATATTTTCTGTACATTTTCGATGTATTACATTTTTTCACCATGAATATGGTAATACATGTTTTATTGATTATTACAAACCGCTTGTATCATGTCAGAAGGTCGTAGCATCAGTCTCGCTTTCTACGAGATGAGACTTGAATGGGATCTTGGCATGATGTCACCATACTGTACTATGCGCGTTGCAAACCCCAAGTAATGTACCTCTGTTAGTACATACAGTCCTGTAGGTTGGCCTTCTTCCGCTGATCCTTCGTGTTATTTTCGGGAAATTTCGATGTCATGGTGTCAACGCTTTCCTACCTTGTGTTATTATATGAGTGGTAGGCGAATGTACTAGTGACTGACTAACTATGCCAATCCCACTTCATTTTTTATTATCCAAGAAACGTTCGAGCGCCTGTGGCTTGGATAAGGCATTAAGGACCAAGTGGTAATATCAATAATTTAGGAGGAGCACTTTTTCATTGCAAATCCAATAAAAAAATAAATATGTAGCGACAATGCCTGCTGAGTGAGCACAGTCAAGCAGTGTATTGATTTACTAATAATATAACCGATGTAATATAATGCTTCAGTCAATGTTAACCCCCACCCTCCTCACCTCAGGGTTTAGTGGGGGGGTTTGGAAATTATTGTTGTAAAATTTGCGAAATGCCCCACCTCCTGGGGCAAGATGGATATGCAAATCCCCACCCAAAACAAACCCCCCACATTTCTCCCACCGATCGCCACTGTCCGCCATGCTTGCTATCAGCAGAGTACTGGCGATGCTGGCGATGACGGGACACGAAACACAGCTATTACCCCACCTCCACGGGCACAGTTTGGCGGTAAACCCTGCCTAATGCCCCACATTTGTCCCGTATCGCCCGAGGTGGGAGGGGTCGGGGTTGACATTGACTGGAGCATAACGTCAAAGTGCATGTGGGCAAAAAAAATGGGGGTGCCCATACTAGTAAAAAAATTGACTGCATGTCTTATTGCACTCTAGCACATTATTTGTCAAGGCCCGGGAGGTATGTATGGGGATCTAAAAACTAACTCTGCAACGCGATTGTGCGACTCGTCAAATGTTGATTATTGCACTCTGCGAAATGATCGCAGTGCCACTCTGCGAAGAGCATGATTCCCATTGGTTGGTTGGTTGGTTGGTCGAAAAGTGCAAATCCCAATGGTCGATCGATGTAAGGGTACACCGCATGCCTTATAGAAATGTTCGGTTTTAAATGGTTATTTCGCCGATTGCTCACGAACTACGGTAAACAAGTATTTATCGACGACATGACGCACTTTTCGGTTATCAGCAAGCATTTAACATTTATTTATTAACATATATAATCCCCTGAGGGGATGAAAGGGGTTACAAATCACATGCACGTTGGTGTTGGCTGCCTTATTACGATGTAACAGGGAGCTGGTAACATTAACGCCATCTTGAAGTTGTAAGGCTTCGTCCGCAACTATGCCCATTAGCATAGGCGGCAGCTTTAAAGCGAGTAGAGCGCGAAGTACATTCACACAATGTTACGTTCTTTTTTGTCATTAATAGCAAGTATAATTTGTTATGACTATATTCATCACTTTGAACTCCCAAATAAAGTGTGTAGCGGGTCAAACTGTTTCTAGGCAATCAATATCGTTTTATCAAGAATATTAAGAGAAAGAAAAATATAAAGCTGTGTGAATGGATTGAAACTACTGCTGAAGATAGAAAACTAAAACGACAGTGTCAACGGAAAATTAGATGGGTGCACGCTTTCTGCATAAACGGAAACGATGGCTTTGTTTATTTGGCCGATGTCAACGAGCATCAGATTTCCTGTACTCACTTACTCGCCTGATCATCAGCCCTCAACGGTCTCACGTATCGGTGTCGTCATTGGTTAAGTAGTTGAAACTCTTTCGCGTTGATGCAAATATTTCAGCCTAATCGTCCCTTTCGAACCACTCGCGAGGTTGGTCATAATATGCTACATGTATATGCTATAATGCTAACAATGGACGTTAGATAAATATGCATTGTTTGCGACAGGAAGCTTGTCACCCATTCTATTACCGTAGTATACATATACATGTTATAAACATTATGCAAATATTAATTATTAAATATTAATACGGTAGTAGTGTTAGTGTTAGCGTTTGAGCACTGGTCTTTCA